ATACAGGCTCACATGTGTGATTTTAACCATATTAAAATCAGATTAACATACAAAATGTGTAACTTGCATGTCAACATAATTGTCTTGCATGTAGACATAATCTTGCATGTTGACATAATTTTCTTACATGTTAAAATAAATCTTGCATGAAGGGGCAGAAACAGCCACCATATGTGTGTCTTCATTTTAAATGTGAATAAATACATGTAATGACAACTATGCTCTATATGTATGATTTTTATTCACATGAAGCTGTATAAGCATTCTTCACATCTAATTCACCAATTTTATGAATCATGTTTATATTTTTGCATTTCTTTGATTTCTAGTTTACTCTCTATATCTATATACTAGTTAATGATTTTAAAACATTTATAAAACAAATCTAAATATTGTTTAAAATATCGATTCAGTTAGGGTTTATAGAGTCACCCTTTTCATTCCAAATGTGAATATGACTGCTATTGGGTGTGTTTCTTTGTTTTAAAAGTTGATTCATACGACCATCAAAGAGTCCAAAGGTTCCTCCTGAAATAAAATTGACCAGGTATAAATATTTTTACATTACATTTAGTTTTTAAGGTGTAAAATATCTTAACTATACAAATACATTATTTTAAATTTATTTACTTTTGTGATTCATATGCTTAAAAGCAATTTATACATTTATTAAAATAAAATATTTTTATAGAAAAAATATCTTACAATTTATTTTTTCTTGAAATGTAAACTTTTTGCATTAGAGAGCACAAATGTAAATCAGACTATATAATCTTATTATTAATTATACTTTACAGAGATTTAAAAATTTGCTAATTTTTAAGTACAAGTCTCAATCAGTAGAGTTGTATTTATGCTAAATTCAAACTTTTGATAAAGTCTTTAAATTAGAAAACTGAAATAGATGTATACTTCAGTATATTCAAGTATTGCAAATTTGATTAGAATTTCACAACAAGAACTCAATTAACATGTGTAAAAATTCAAATGGTCACAATTAGGAATCAGAGAAAACATGTTGAAATTTAATTCTCAGAGTCACAGAGTTTGTGTGGTACCATAATTAGTAGGTCCTGAAGACCTTGTTCTGCAAGTGTCTGTACATGTATTAAGGATCATATCAGAAATTAGCTATAGCTTAGGGCATGATCAAACTTTATACAAACATTATCATTATAATTAAGTTTTATGTCATACAGATTGAGGAAATATATTTCTGAGGGGAACACATAATTCCCATACCTGGTACAACTGTCCTCCTTCTATCCAGTGGGAAGGGAGGCCAGCATGATACTTAAATCAAATTACGGTGTGTAAGAAATGTGTTAAAAAAAAAATCATACCTGTGTGGATGAACAGAATTTGTTTTCCCCTGAATCTCTGAGGATTATTCTGTAGCTCTGAGACCAGACCCCGGACAGCTTTACCAGTGTAGGTAGGATCAAGTATCACACCTGAAGACGCTCCAACGTCCATAATGAATTCTACACAAACACCAAAATTAGATTCATCAATGTTGTTTATTTTTCACATGCTGAAGAGATTATATTTGTCACTTCATTTTATTAAAGCAATTGTAATTATATAATAAGTTCATTAATGTTAAGTGCATTGTTGTACATATATAGTGTAATTTTCTACATAAGACACATTTGAAAAATTATTCATTCTCTTCAAACCTACCTAATTCTTCTTCAGTAGAGAGACCATAACCTCGACCTTTATAGCCCTCTATAATGTCCAGAATTTCCTCTGATCGAATATCAGTCAATCCCAGCTCTGATAGTGTCTCATTCACATGATTATGAAAGTACTTAGCATCATCACAAACTATAACAGCATGAACCCTGAAATAAAAAGGATATTTGAACAATTTTTTCTGAATACTTATTTAAAATAGATTATTGGTTTATAAAAAAAAACGTACATCAATTCTAATATTGCGACAGGAGAAAAATCTTTGAGTTTCTTACTTCCACAAACAGTCTCTAGGTTAAATCAATTGATATAAAAAAGAATTTGTTCAACTATTTGAATAAAGATATTCCAGTACATTGTAAATATAATAAAGATATCAAATATGGATTCACTGGTTACTTTTTTATTCTAGCTTAGACATGATTGGGAAACAACCTCATGCACCTTTAGTCTGTGTGATTGAACATATTACAAGTACATGTAATGACTTCAGCTTTGACCTTCAATGATGATTTTGACTTGACCTTTGACCCTGTATGATGAGTGTGTTAGTGACTTTATCCTTGACCTTGTCAATGAATGTGTAATATGACTAATTTGAACTTTGATCTAATACTGATTTGACTTTTGATTGTCTGTGATGAAATTGTTAATGTCTTGAGATTTAATCCTGTAAGATTAATGCGCTTGACCTTTTGATCTTGTATAATGATACTCATACTGAATTGACCATTGATCTTGTGAGGTAAATATGTAACAAGCCATGACTTGGCCTTGGATGACAGTAATGACTTGACCTTTGATCTTTTATGATGATACTGACTTGACCTTTGAACCTGTGAGATGATTGGCTATACATAGTCCACCAACAGTCCCTCCACTACCACAAGCCACCACAATATCTGTGATCCATGGTATCTACAAATTTTAGTAATAATATGTACACTAAAAAGCAGTTACACATAATAAGAAAAAGTTCCATAAAGACAAACACCATTGTTCTGTTGCCATGGTAACTAATAATGACCACCCTCCAACTTTTGAGAAAAACAAAGAAATTCAATTTGCCATCCATTATATGAATCCAGATATCTTCCTCATCATCTGCCTAATATATTATGGAGCAAAAATTAGGATGTATATGTATGAACCAAACTTAATTCCTATAACATAGTTCTTCATAATTCAGGAATAGTGAAAACAAATGAAAAGCGTTCCCTTTAAATACTTACAGATACTTACATGAGGCAAAATTTCTTCAAACACCGTAAGAAATCCAAACACTCCTAAGGTATTGGATCCACCTACAGGTATCAAATAGCTCTCCTCTCCTGTCTTCTCTCTGTAGAAGAAAATACAGGAGTTTCATGAGACACTATACACTCATCCAGTCATTTATACTACCTGGCAAATGATTAAGTAATAAACAAAATCCATTATTATGGACATTGGTTACAAATCCCCACAGTATGTAGTACTATGAGACCCCGTTGTGCACCAACCAAACTCTTCAGACTACAATTTGAAATCATTTATATCTAAAATCTATACTTTAAGAGATGCTTGTACAGTGATACTTGTTTAATTTGGACATCACTAGTTCCTCAAACATAGACCGTATTAGACAACAAGACATTGAAGACTATATTACAGATTAGCCAATATACTGAATTTACTAAAAGGGACTGAAAATTTACATTCTATTAGAAAATATTTTGGAATACACAACATCTGGATTAAACAAGTTTTGCTGTATATCAATTTACCTAACTGTACGCTCAAGTATTTAAAGACATAAGAACATTAGCAGAGGCTCTTACTTGTATGAGTACTTGTACATGTACGATGTAATTTACCAGATGTATAAGAACAACAGTGTACAAACCTAATGGTTTCAGCAAGTTTTTCCATTCTTGGTTTCAGTTCTGTGAGGTAGGGAGATAATTTTGGCACCATGTACATATGAGCACCACACATTCGGTTCAACAATACATTGCCTTCACAACCAACATCCGCTTCACTCTGCAAAGAGGGAATGCTCTGTTTAGCCCCCCCCCTCCCCTTACTCATTTTTATCACTATGTACAGAAAGCTATAAATGTAATTCTTACAACATCTATTTATAAATAAAATTTACTTTGTTGACAACTTCTTGCAATTAAGTACTGTACGTATACTTAAATTGACGTATTCAAAATTTAGTGCAATCGCTGGGCAATTCTTTGCTTTACCTCAATATCTGCCCTCAGCACTAGATGAGGTGTCATCCCCAGCTCCCTGGCAGCCAATGCGGTGATTCTGCAGTGATTGGACTGAATTCCACCACAAGTTATCACATGTTTACAACCCTTCTCTATAGCATCAGCCAACAGGAATTCAAGTTTTCTGACCTGTAGGTATAATAGCATATTAAAGTATTTTTTAAATTCAATTTGTAGACAGTATAGCAATGCTGTCTCTCTTAATACTAATAGAGCTTTTTTTGTTGATGTTCTAAATTAATTTGAACTAAAAATGTTTTTTTTTTAAAAGTTTTTCTAAGAGGAAAAATAAAGTGTTTTCATTCTTTAGCTTGACTCCAAAATAATATATATTTAACAAACTATAAATCCTCGATATCTCTAATGTGTCCACTTTGGGACTGTCAAAAAAAAAAGAAGATAATTTGGAACTTGGAAAATTGGAAGTTGAGGTTTGAAATTCATATATTCAGGATAACCATCTCTGATACTTTACCTACCACTAATTCCTGTTATTCTACATAAATAGAAATGCTGAGGTGCTTTTAAAAAAGTTCCAATTTATAGATCATTTTACATTAAATATAACTATATGCACCACCTACCTTGTTTCCTGAAATTGCAGCACCAGTAGCATCCTCTCGTCTGATAAAAACTTCAAACTGCTTTGGAATACCGGGAAGATTCCAGGGGTTTATCATTCCCACCTTATCATCATCTCTTGGGCTCAGCTTTAAATTCAATGAGGACAAAAGTTGGTTCTGTTAGTTTATTACAGATATAACGTATAACTGCTGTGCTTGTGGAGTGTTTATAAATGACAAAATTTACATTTATAAAAATTGTCAATGCATTGAACTAGGTACTATACTAGTAACTATATAGATCCCTGATTGAGTCAAGAACTTGATTTTTTTCAAAAAACTTCCCTCCATCTTACTGGTATCAGGGTTCTGGGAATATTCTTGAGGCCTTGTGCCCATCTTGGTGGATCATAAGGCAACAGTCTCTTTAACAGTGTAACTGTTTTGCTTCCCATTCTTCCTAAAGAAAAGTCTTTTTTGGTTATTGTGAATATTTACATTTGCAGCTCTTTTTTTTGTAAGCCAGAGATTCAATGCGATTTTCACACATTAGTCACAAAAGAAATATTTCATCATGAATTCTTAGATAAATGTATCTAGTCAATGTTTTTTTTTTCTTTCCCTTTGACTTCAAGATAACAATTAACACATTTTGAATAAACGAATTTCACATTTCTAAGAGTTATCTCCTGTTGTCGGCGTAACGCTCATTTTTCCCTCTTTGTCGTTTATAAGTTACATGTTAATATTTTTAAAATTCAAACGTTATATGACAATTTCGATCTGTACCTGTATTGCCAGAGTATGGGGCAACATGAAAAACATAATAATGAGCATATTCATACAGATTTTATTTCTAGGATACTGACCCATAAAGTTGGTAAGGTTATAGAGGGAAAACAGCATCTTACGCCGGTTGACCCCGGATTGACCCCGCAAAGGGGAATAACTTTTGTAAATGTGAAAGTCGTCTATACATTTTTATCTTTTGTATAGTCCGAAAAATCTGACGTTTTCCTGGCTTTTTTATGATTTTGATATTTTACACATAGGGACTTGTCCTCCGGATTGTTAAATGTAAAATAAATTTTAAAAATTTTGAATCTTCTTTAAATACACTTAAAAGTTGTTAAAATAAAGATCCTGACACTTTCAGGCAAGAAAAACCACGTTTAAAAAAGACGTACCACACCTATATACATAAACTATAGAGTTTATGTATATAGGTGTGGTATGTCTTTTTTAAACGTGGTTTTTCTTGCCTGAAAGTGTCAGGATCTTTATTTATAGAGTTTATGTATATAGGTGTGGTACGTCTTTTTTAAACGTGGTTTTTCTTGCCTGAAAGTGTCAGGATCTTTATTTTAACAACTTTTAAGTGTATTTAAAGAAGATTCAAAATTTTTTATAATTTATTTTACATTTAACAATCTGGAAGACAAGCCCCTATGATTTTACATGCCAGGAAAACTGTAAAATATCAAAATCATAAAAAAGCCAGGAAAACGTCAGATTTTTCGGACTACTTTTATGTAGGCCTAGAACAAAAAATATAAATAATCATATGATAATTAACAATTTTTTAAAATCCTTTTCTGAATATCGGTAAACACGGCACGTGCGTCGTGAGACGTGACTGAACATTTACACTACAAGAGTAAAGATTTAGTTGAAACGTTTTTACTAAATATATTGTACCATCTATATCATCTCTGGATTCCATTCTCTTTCATATGCATGCATATAACCCAGATCCAAAGTTCCAAACCACACTGATAAGATGTGACCTACTTTCAGACTTTTGCAAAACACCGAGTGACCTACTGCAAATAAAGGAATTGCATGGAATATACCACTCACATTAGTATTATTATGTAAAGAAATCTCCTGTCATTTTTACATGTTGCCAACTACAATTATTTATCTGGCAATGCATCAATCTGCGTCAAACTTATCTTTGTTTACTTTTCGTAAATCATACGGGAAATAGGTGCTCGTTCGTTAATTTCAAAACCTATGACAATCAATTTTGTTCCGGATTCAGTGAATTTTTTTTTAATGAAAAGTACGTTCTCATCCTGGGGCAGCTAAGCCGGCTCAGTTTACAAAAGAACTTACGACTAAAACCAAAATTAAATTCTGATTTTTAAATTTCTTATATGCATTAAGTTGAACATATTTTTGTTTTAATTAATGGAATATAATAAAGACATTCAAGAATACGGCAGCAATATGAAAAAGGATGATTATTATGCAAAAAATTTACAATCAACTTAAGTTTTTGGTCTAAGTTGTAAGTTCTTTTGTAAAACAGGCCTCTGATTCGTCGGAGTGCTGATTACAACCACAAATGATCTTCCCCCTTCCCACAGAACGGGGCCCGTTTTTTTCAGACTGATAATGATATAATTATAATGGTTGGGGAAAAAATGAGCAAAATAAAGAAAGGAATCATCCATTTAAAATCAAAATAGAAAATAAAAAAAAACTAAATAAAAATAACTTTGTCATGATCGCTATCCAAAAATTAAAACAATATCACATTATGAGTATATACTTTTAAATAAGAATTACTTTCTGATATGGAACGATTCATATGAGTGCCTCCTTTAACTTTTCTAGGGACATTTTTCAAAACACTTGTTGAACGGGAGTGTCATAGACAATTCTTTGTGCATTTTCTATTTTTTTCTAATTCTCGTTTCTCTTGCAGTAAATGACCAAAGTAAAATGAGTTCAAGGAAAGGATCCTTTTCAGGGCCAGAAACGAGAAAGATTGGAAAATCTCCGTATGCGTCTAGACCTACCATTACTTTACCGACTCCAAAACCGAAACATATCATAAAAGATGGCACCAAGAAAATGCCAACAAAGCAATTAAAGCCAAAAACTCGCGAGGAGCAGCAGGAAAATTCTCCAGGAAGAATCGACATTCAAGATAAGCAAGAACTGTCAAATCAAGAGAGTGAAAATTCCGAGAAATCTCAGGAAGAGAGGGAGGATTTCGTAGCTCAGAGTGAAGATGGAAATTCTAAAGTCGAGGAACCTTCTCCGGGTGTGTCTGAAGATTTCATGGAAAACATGTCGGATGAAAGAAAGCATAGTGGGATTCCAACTCAGACTAAAAGTAAGGAAGAGACCGTAGATGACATAGATGAATCGACCAAAGAACACAATATCACAACAAGCGGAGTGACGCTGAAAAGTCTAACACTGTCTTCAAAGGAAAATACTCCGAAGAATATTGAATCTGAATTAAAAGACCCCATTTTGTCTGAAATATGCACATATCACGAAGGAGAAACTTTCATTATGTTTTGCAATGATTGTAAATCGTCTGTATGTTCCGAGTGTATTAGAACTGACCATAAAGAACATGAATGGATCCAGCTCCGCAAAGCTGGTAAAATAATGCGACAAAAACTGGCCCAGTACAGGAAAGATATTGTCAAAACTCACCTTCCCAATTTCCAGACATGTTTAGAGAAATCACGAAGGGAAAAGGAAAAAGTTTCCGGGCAACGGAAAAAGAGAATGGAAGAAATTATTGCCCAGAGAGACAAGATGGTTGCCAAAGTATCTGAGCTCAGTCAAGCAATGCTGAATTCTTGCGCGGATGATCTGAAGAAAAATGAGGACGCTATAGAGACAATGGAGAAGGAAATTGCTGAACTAGAGCTGGTAGCTTCAAAGTTAGAGGAAAGCACTCTTCAATGTGCCAGCGATGTTGAGACAATCCAAATGGAAACGCGACTTTCATCAATCCTAAACAAAATAGTTCCAAATGATGTCCCTTTCAAAGAAAACGTAGATTTCATTCCAGGAGAAATTAACATGGATCAAATCCAAATCATGATCGGCAAATTAACAGGCTTAGAGAATGATGATGTTAAACAAGCAGACGACACTCCTACTGATCAAGATGTTTCCATGGTAAGCTCACGGTCACCAAGAAGACCACTGCGGCCATTGAACGATTTTCAGAAATGCGTTCAATGTAAGCGAATGGTTAAGAACGTTGTAAAAGTGAAATACATGTGTGGACACAAGATATGTAACTACTGCTGGTTTTCTACAATGAACAGCACCCGCTGTCCTCATTGTAACTCCCTTTAGCTTTCTTGGTCCCTTTTTTCTGCCTGCATATATAACGGATACATACATTTTCCCGACATCAAAAGAAGTGAAAGGTAAATTCTCTTATAAAATGCAATCATTATTTGTTACAAGACTTTGGTTTGAAAAATCATATTCAGGCTGAACTCATCCAAGATTCAAAGAATTGCTGAAATATGAGATGATTGTTTGTTTCTTGTTTAATACCGGTATGTCCCTCTCAGAATTTTTAATTCATATGGAGATGTCACTACTTTCCAGTGGAGGGCTACAAATTTATATCTATACTCAGCACTCAGGTCCATTGACTAGTGAGGGATCTTTTTCGTGCTAAACCTACTGCAACACAGGACCTCATTTTATAATGTCTATCCGAAGGACCAGTCTCTACGTCCCACTGTGGGTTCAAACCCACAATCTACTCCTTACTCAACAACTATGAAGCAGATGCTCTCACCACTGAGTCATGTGGGCAACATGTGGTGATTGAATACACATCTAAAATGATCAACTAAAAGCATCAAAGTACAAAGAAACAATAATTTATGAATTCTTTACTTATAATTTATTGTATTTTGTATGATAAATGAAATGTACAACAAATTTTTCAACTTTCAGCTGAGAATGTGATCAACAACCATTTGTTAATCACCTAAATAATAAAATTTGAAAACCAGATATCCCATCTGGTTTTTACGAAGAATTCTTTGCTTCCTGTTAAATTTATAATACATTACTAAAGATGAACTGTACAATGTCAAAGAGCTTTAATGCTTTTTCTGAAAACTCATTTTCCACACAACTCTTTGGTAACAAATAAAATGTATCTGACATGTTGAATGATGAAATAAATAAAATGATACAGAAAAAACATATTCTGCTGTTCACAATGAAACAAGTGAATTTCAATATGAAACAATAAAACTTAATCAAATTTTCAAAAATGCATAACAAATATAACACATGGATAACCCTGGGAACTGCTGTAGACAATTTGTTCAATGTTATCATTTGACATGTGAACTTAATTAAGGTCTATCTTTCCGGTGTTCAATATTTCTAACATTAAAACATGCCCATAACAGAAACAATTAAGAAGTTTTAGTATATATGCAAAGCAGCATCTACAAATTAGTTGTCAGGTTCAGTTCTTTGCTATTTGTATCACATACTTCCAGTATTCCGGTTGTCATGCACTGATTGGTCAGTTTGTATAATTTCAATCATTGGTCAATGCTATGATCTTTCCTTCTTTTTGATTGGTCTCTTACTAACATGTTTATTGATAATTTCGGATATTTTCTGTTTATGATCTAGCACTTTCAACATGTTCGTTCTGGATTCCTCAAGTTGATCCATAATAAGTTTGCATCTTTGAATGTTTGCCTGCCAAAAAAGATAACTTAAATAATTCAAAATTCTTGAAATGTCTGTCATATTGAATTCTGTCTATGAGCATGAAGAACACTGAAATTAACCATCACTGTTAAAACTTTGTATTTGAATTAGTATTCAGTACGAAGGACTAAAGGCAAGTGTTTGGAAATCAAGTGCTGAAGGCACACTTCTAATTTAAAAACTTTTTTAAAAATAAAATTTTTTGAATATGTTTTAAAAAATTATGAACAGGTATAAAGATATGAAACATGAGGTGTCAAATTTTGTGAGATGTTTCTGAGATTCTAAATTTTTCCTGCTAGATATTTTTATTTTATGACAAAGAGCTTTACATCCTTTTTTTTTATCATTTCTGTGAAGTAAAACTGAAATTGCTCATGTGTTCATATGACTAAAATAACTAATCAATTCTGTTATTGATGATCTCAGACATGTACTCACCTGAGTTAACTCATGCATCATACTCAGTTCGTCCTCCATGGAGACCACTGTGAGTCTATTCTGAGGACGCGGGGACAAAGCAGTTTGAATTGATGATAATTTGCTTAATAAAGTCTTCTCCAGATCATTCTGAAATAATGCAGAATAATTTATATATCATAGGGCATGCACTTTATGTTTCATAAACTGTATACATGCACTGATTATGTTTCCAAACACATAATTTTTTTTTTAAATCGAAAAATCTTTTCTGTACAATAGACTTAGAAGCACCTATCCTTGGAAAAAAAAACGTATCTTTAAACATAACATGTATATTCAAAAACTTAAAAAAATCTTTTTCTTGACTGATTTTAATTCTGACCTATTTCCCCCCTTTTTTTTTATGGATGCCAAAAATGAAAACTCACCAGATCTTCCATCTGTGCTGCCATGTGATACAACTTCCAGCCACTGGCCTTCTGAGCAGCTCCTCTCTGATTGGCTAATTCATTCACTGTGGGGCGTCGCTCTTCTGTAATATTCAAATTAATACACTTTTTTAAAACATAGTCCACTGTTTGGTCAATACATACATACAAGTAAGTGTAACTAAAAAATTTGTGCAGCTTTTAAAAATCTGACAGAAAGATTGAGAGATTTAATGCATACCTTTTGGTTTAATTTCGGTATGTCTATTAAAATGATTATTTCTTGGTTTCCAAGATATATTATAAAAGTTCATAAGGGAGATATTGGGTCGACATTTCTCTACAGTCCATCGTACACCCTCATCATCCACATACTCTGCAATGGTAAAAAATAATGATAAAAATCAATTTTTGAAACGACTTACATGTGTATTCCATATTACACGATAAATTTAATTTCATCTTGAGCAAACATAGTTACATTAAATCTATCTTTTTATTCTCACTACCTTTAGAGGGCTTTTTCAGTAAATTAATTGTGCTTGAAAAATAGGTGAACGTGAATAATTTTACGAATAAAAAAAAAGTCACTTGGAAAGAACTGATTTACTACATCATAT